TAGTCATAACTAATAAAGGCTATGTTGTCTTCATTAAAATTCAGTTCAGCTGATTTCCGTTTTCAAGTTAATAATCCTAGGTACTAATTACAATAGAAGCAAGACACATAGTTAATATGTTAGAAATCAAATAGGAGTTAATTAAACTAAACATAAGCAAAAATGATATATATCCAGTGTTTGCCATCTCATCTTAAACTTAAAACACCACAGAAGTTTTTTTCCAATGTTCCAGTTTTATTTTGGCTAAAAGTGGCTGACAACCAAAATACAAATTAAACACATGAAGATTAAAAAAATTATACTTCAGGTTCTCCAGCACAGTCATTCATATTTGTTGAATAAAAACTGCAGTACCCTGTATTTAATACCATTGAGAGAGCAGCAACTGTTCTCAAATATTTTGAAATTCTTGTTAATAAGCCATAATAACAAAACAGCCTTTTTGCAACCTGGCCGTTGTTTTAAACAAGTCAGTAATATATTTTTCTACTATCTCTTGGGTCTGAGGTCTCGTAAACAAATATGTTTTGAGCTTCAACCAATCAACAGTAACAATGGTATACATGATATCATATTATAATTTTTAATATTCTAGCTAAATTGCCACACACACCCTTTGGATGCATACCTTAAGGGGAGCTGAGTGTGTCAAAGATGCCAAGGGCAATGTTGTCAAGAGACATCTAGTAAAGTTGCCCAAGGTGGAATGGACAAGACTGGACCACAAGAATAAGATACATCCACCCTTGGAAAAGAAAAAAACATAGCAAAGTTGAAAAAGAACACTACTACACTGTGTGGAATGCAAATTCACTCACATTCATGTGCCGTGAAGTTGCAACAGGGAATGTGAATCTGTTTGATTTATTTATTTATGTAACTTATATGACGCCCACACTACCCAAAGGTCTCTGGGAAGCTTACAACAATGTAAGTGGCCACACTTGAATCAAACTGTTTGTAGTTCTACTTACCACTCTACAGGTGGTGCTGTTCAAAGAACTGCATTAACAGGCACTGACCCGGCTTGTTTTGTCTCAGGTGTCTGCTTTGGACATTTTGTTAAGCTGTTAAAAATAAAATAAACAGGAGTGCTGCCCTGGATGAGAAAAAATTAAAAAATTAAATTAAGAAAGGTCTTGGAAGAGAGGTTTTGCTGGAGAGATTGTGTGCCATTCTCTCTCTCTCTCTCTCTCAATTTATGGGTTCCCTGAAGCCTTCCAAGGGGTGTAAAAGCCAGATGTAAGCCCTACTGTGGTTGTTTAAAGTATGGGCCAGGCACCCTATTTGAACTGCAGTAGGGGTTGCATCATGTACAGTGACAGGAGTCTCTGTGGATGCCAACCATGTTTTCTGGCGTGTGTCATTTTGGCCAAAGATGCATCTGTCCACCTGAAGTTGTCACCTCTCTCTGCTTACCTCATTTGAACATTCTGTTTCAAAAAAGGTAAAAAGGAGATCATTGCAATTACAAGATAGGAGGTGGGGAAAGACATACCTTGTGCCTGTTTGTGTGGACCTCCCACAACCCCACAGAAGAGACTAGATCAAAAGTCCACAATTCAATTAAAACACTATCTCTGCTTCAGGCTGCGGGGTATGACTTACTTAATGAGCCTTTGCCTTCTGCCAGCAATAGTAGAGCTGTGCCACTTTTGTCCTTGGTTGAAGCCAAGCCAGGGATTAATAGCAAGATGTGGTTAACCTAATTGAGTCTTGCTTTTAACCTTTTGCTTTCAGCGTCCAGTTTGTTTACTGTGGAATGAGCCAACTGTATGGTTTAAATAATTTTAAAACTCCCCGCTGCTCAAGATTGGCAACATTATCAGGACTCAAGTTGACCTAACACAATTGGGTCAAAGATTGTAAGACTGAAAGATTAGTAAATATGGAAATGTATGCTATGTAAATATGTTACATAGCATATACACTATATTTTCGAATGCACCGTAGTCTCCTTAAACAACCTTTAAAAAAAGTTCCCCCTTAATATGTTGTGCTATGGTTATTTTATGTAACACAGCAGCCAGATTTCAAAAGTAAAACACCTTCCACCCATGGATGGTACAATGAAATCAGAGATATTGTAGCAGTGGATAAAATCTACCTTTTGAAAATAATGCCAAAATCTAAGTGCTTTGTTACTTTTACAGAGGAGTTGTTCTGCATTCTTAATGCACATGGGCTCTCAACATTGGGTTGCTGAAGAATAAACATTAAGAAATGTTTTTCTTGTTCTTTGCTGCTGGATCACTGCTCCCACCATTCTTGGCTGGGGATGATAGGAATCTGAGTCTAGCAACAGCAGTGGAAAGCCTATCCCTGCTTTACAACTACCATCTGAAACTATTTTAATTTCTGTTTCCATTGCACTATCGTGAGCCTGTTTTGTCTCTGCCCAGATACTGCTCAAAGCAACACAGAAACTGGCAAAACAAGTTTACCAAGGGGCTAAAGCTAAACAGAAACATAAGGAACATGTGTAGCATGGATAATAAGAACTCCAGTGAGACACAGACGAGGGATTTCGATGTTTCAGACCAGGAACTCTTACTCTCTGTACCACATTAGTAGCACAACTGGTAACACTGGCAGGTGTGTGATCTAGGTGTATCGGCTCAAGGGAGAGTCTGGAGCAAAGCCTGGAAATGTTATTTTCAGGATCACAAGTCCCAGAATCCCTGAGCCAGCATGACCAGGGCCCATGTTGGCGGTAAAATTTTGCTAGTTTCAAAACAGTAAGTTTTTCAGTCTTGGGTCAAGTGATACAAAAGGGCCAGGGGGATTACACTTTCTGGCTAAGACCTGGCCAACACGTTGTTCAGGCCATAGAATAATATCTCAAAGGACAAATCAGACACTGTACTTACAACTAGAAGCTTCCTAATTAGTGTCAGGGGCAGTTTGAGGACTAGGATTTGGGTGTGCTTCACCCGAAAACTCGGGGGGAGGGGATCCACCCATCCCCAGTCATGTTTGGTTAGTGTTTCAGCCACACAAGCATATGGCGATCTTAATCCTTGCCCAGAATTGTTTGAGTGATCTGAATGCAAGCTAAACCATGCTGAGTTCCTAATGATCAATCCCAAAGCAAAGGAGGCTCATTTGCAAACTTTGGGAGATGAGAAAGGCTTGTGGGATTACAAACAGATTTTTAACACTTGGGAACATCAGAAACTTCTTCTTCTTCTTCTTCTTTTAAATGGATTTCTGTAGCAAGAACGTCCACAAGAATTACCACAAGAGTAGAAGCTGCATTATGGTATGCTTGATGTGATTTCTGCATAGAACATGTACCAATACATAGGGTAGATGCCTTAAAATAATAAATAGGTAATATTTAGAATTCCAGGGTGGAAAATGTCTCCCCCCCTCACCATGGACAACCTGCTCAGTAGCATCTTGTTTAACCCTTGGTTTCTCTGTTTTCACATTTGTTGGCTGCTTTTCAGATTTGACTGCTGGCTGGGATGATGAGAACCGTGGAAGACACTGGTCTGTCTGGGTTTAAGACATAGAGATTTCAGGGTGCCCCCTCCCCCATCTCTGCCAAACTACTGCTTGCCTGCTCTACCCTTACATAAACAAGAGTAGTTAAGCAATTCCATTTTATTGCAAGAAGGTCATCATGTGTAGTTTCATCAAGGCAGGTGTCATTTTTGAACACACCTATCAGGAAAAAGGTTTCTCTAATGGATGGCCAGTCCCCTTGTGCTACTACTAATTACTTACTACTAATATTTGAAGATCTGAGATGTACAAAGATGTGCTTTCGATTTATATGAAGGGAGGAAGCTCAGGAAATTATCTGATCCGATTTCTGAGAACATTTAAAGACTGAGTTTGATTGCCAGAAGCAAGAAACAACCGTAGACAAAGAGATGAGTGCAAAGACTGAATAGCTGTAATTACGTATAGGTTTTCACACCTAGGATACAATGAAATACAAAAATATGCTAGGCTGTGGCTACATTTTCAAATTGTTCCTTATATCCCCTTAAAAGTAGTGCAAAAGTAGCCTTTCCATTGACTCAAATGGTCCTGCTCTTGTTGCTGATGATGTTTTGACTTATATATCAACTCATAGTGCTAGAACACACTCTGGGTGCCTTACAACATAGTTATACAAACAACATGCCCCCCCCATGAGCTGGATATTCATTTTACCAACCTTGGAAGAATGGAAGGCTGAGTCAACCTTGAGCCCGCTCCCTGAAGCTGTTGGGATTGAAAGGTTGTGAGCAGAGGCTTGACTACAATACTGCAGTTTAACCACATGTCACAACTAGAGTAGGCCTGCTTGTATCACTGGAACTTACAGAGAAAGGAACTCACCAGATCCACACTGATTCAGTGGACCCACACTAGTGCATTGTACTACACAGGATTAACAATAATGCGCCAATGTCAACTTCTTTCTCTCTCTCTCTCTCTCTCTCTCACACACACACACACACACACACACACACCATTAACATGAATTTGAGTTTTACTTATTAAAATGTTAGTTGGCATGTTGTACTACACAGGATTAACAATAATGCGCCGATATCAACTTCTCTCTCACACACACGCACATACACCATTAACATGAATTTGAGTTTTACTAATTAAAATGTTAGTTGGCATGCTGTTCTGCAAAAAGGACTATATCAGTCCACATTATCCTCCTCCAAAAGGATAATGGTGCATAGATCCCTTTCAAAGCTAGATCTATGCTAGCTGGCCCTGTAAACGTACTTTAAGTGTAACACCCTGTCATGTGAGAGGACCCATCCATGGTCATTAAGCAGCAGCATATCTCAAGAGCCCTAAAGTGTATGTTGCAGGCTTAGAACCTGCATACCTGGAAAGGCTGGAAATGGTTAACACCTAAGAAGAGGCAGCTGTGATGTCAGGATTGAGGCTTCTCATGACTTGCAGGTACCAGCCAATCAGGCGGACTGAGGAATTTTTAAAAATCCAGCAAGAGTGTCTTTCTTTCTTTCTCTAAGATGCCTGCTTTCCAGTTTGCCTTAAGAAGAAGGGCTGATTCCAGGAGGTGAAAGACAAGAAGCGGTGATCAGAATTTGGGGTTGAAGTGAGTGACAAATTAGGGATGATGACTTCCAAAATACCGACATGTAACTCTTTATTTCTCTTACCCTTCTTGTGGTTTTTAACTTGTACTCAGGGATGTATCTCTGTGGTTTTTCTACTTTGCCTTCAGTTGTTAAATGTGCTGCACTCTTTTCTTTGTAGTGTAATCAAGTTTGATTTTTTGCAGAAAGCAGATTCATGAATGGTGAGCCAAGATGACTATTCCAAATACTGACATGCTGTGTTGGAAACAGACTTGGGAATATCTGTTTCCACAAAATCAGCACTTGAGTCTGGTGATGAATAATCTGCCACCTTTTTTAAAAAAAGAAAAGGACTCCATAGTCATTGAGTTCTCTGTTAAGAGTAATCTTCCCCCCCCCTTAATGAAAATGATCTAAATAACAAGAGCAAGCCAAGGGATGTATTTTGTGAGAACATATTCTATAAAAACTCTAGTTTGACTCCTTTGCTTGTGAGAATTCGACCATCTCAACTTTTGTTTTAAAAAGAATAAGAACAGCATCATATTTATACAGAAAATTTAGCAGTAGAATAATGGTGTTGTCTTCTGTTGCGAACAACCAAATATGCAAATATTGGTTTTGCTTCTTCCAGCTCCTGGAGAGCTTGATCCCTTGATATGTTAATACAGTACAACCTTTTCTTAGCATAAGGGTTTAGCATAAGTATGTGGATACAATATTTTTGACTGACTTAGTACTAAACTCACTTTTGAATAGAAATTTTCAAAGTAGCTGACCTTAGAAAGCACAGGAAAATACTGAAAACTGCTTACAGGACGTGATATCCATGAAATCTACAATAGCATCTTCTGCGATTGTAGCACATTTCTAACCGAATTTATTTCTGGAAAGGTTTGTTTCTGAGACAGAATGGTTTGCTCTTTTTTCCCATTTGGGGAGCTGGGGGAAATCGAACACAGGTCTCCTGACTCCTACTTCATTACTCTACCCACTCCACCACACTGGGTACCATAGGGGGATAGCTTAGAGACAACATATTAACAAGAGCCAGTGTTTGCTTCTGTGCAAACAGCTTGAAAACTATTTGCCACAAATAAAAATAATGGGTTGGGTACAGAGTTCTGCTGCTGTTTCAGTTCAATGGTAGAGTACATGTTTTTTTGTGTGTGTGTGGAAAGTCCAGGGTTCAATCCTGTGGTTTTTCATTGAATGTGAGGTGGGGGGGGGAACCTTGTTGCCTGAAAGATTGCTGCTTCTTCCAGTCAGTGTCTATCAGAAAGGTGATGAATGAACCAGAAGTGTTAATACTGTAGAACTTCCTATCTTCTAAACAAGGGTCATAGGAGGCTCCCTACTGAAATAGACAAGACAGTGGCAATACTCAGGGATTATCCCCAGAGCTTTCCCATCTACTGTGCTGCAAAATGCTTGGAAGAGCTTTCTAGCTACAGCTCTCAGGATTTCACAGCCAACTGGCCAGTCAAACAAAGCAACCAGTCTGACAAAGCAACATTTCTAAACTCTTGAATTCTGGAAGATGTCCTTCTGCAGAGCAGATTTTTCAGAAGTACAGAGGGATTGGGGGGGGGGAGGTATAAATCCCTCCTACTCTCATCCAGCCCGATAATACTCTTGTTCCATACAGATCCAGATGCAAATCAATAAATACAGATTTAAATAAACTAAGGTCTATGCATTTGTGAGCCAAAAGGTTGAAATGAATGCCATAACCCCAACAAAAGCAACCCACAAATCGGTTGTAATGTCAAATACTTTCTTGGAACATACATTCTCTCAATTGACTTTTTAAATAAACGTAGAATGAACAAATTTAAAAGCCTATTTAGAGACTTTGAAGTGTGATCTCTGCTTGACATATTTCCTCTGAGCTAGTAAGTTACTTGGGGCAAACCTAAGCAGCTGAGTGAATGAAAACATTTTCTTTTACTCCCTGACAGATGGATTGGTTTCTTGTATAGTGGGAGGAAAGGACCCATATCTTGTTTCTCTATAAATATGATCAAATAACTAATGAAGGCCTTCCTTTGCAATATACTGATCCTGCCGCTGAACAGAGAAGTCTCTTTTTATCACAGGGATACCATTATTTATGCCTGGAATACTTTAGAAGGAATACAGTAAATATATCATTTATTAAACTTATCTTTCAAGGAAGGAAGGAAGTTCATTTTAAAATATGATCTCCCTGTAAATGTCTTTATGTTTATTTGCTGTGTATTTGGAAATCTTGATCCTGGTTAGGAACTAATAGCCTGTACAATATTGATCAGTTCCTTCTGGAAGTTATGTTTAAGTCACATTTTCATGCAGCAGTGCCATCCATAGCTGTAACAAAAGCTATCTGTGGTTGATGCATAGAGGTGGCACAGGAGGGTTTTTAATAAACATAGAAAAGCACCACCACCAAGTCGTTCATCTATAAATCTTACAGGTGTGGCTTTTGATTCCCAAGGGTAGGTGGAGCTAGTCAGCCTTGGGAGGCAGCCCGTCTAGGAGAAGGAAAACTCTGATTTCAAACCTCCACTGCCTTGTGGCTATATCCACTGATGGAAAAGCCTTCAGGAGTAAACCTTGAGGCAAAATCTGGAGTCCCATAGGCAGTTCATGTCGTTCTGGCAACTCCTGCAACGTCACTAGAACCAGTTGTATTGGCTCTTGCCTTTCCATTGGACTATTTCAGCGATGTGGAGAGGGGGGATTTGCTGCTTGGGTAACAGCCTATCCTCCATATTATTCTACCCAGGCTTCGTGCTCTGGAGAGGACACACATACAGAGCACGTTATCATGGTCTTTCGAGACTGAAGGATGCCTAAGAAGTGGCTTTTGATTCCCAAGGGCTCCTGAAGACCAGATTTTCTCTCCCTCTTCTGTTAACCATTTTACCGAAAGATGGACGAGGGCAGCAATGGGGTGGGGAAAAGCAAAATCCAAAAAATAAATATAGCTAAGCCAATGCTAGAGGCAGCCCTGGATGTTGGAAATAAAACCCACGGACAGGCCTGTTCGTGAGCAGACCATTTTGTATATCCCTGGCTTATATCTGAAATTATTAAAGGAGTGAGTGAGTGTGTGCGCACGCGTGTGTTTTGAGAAAAGAGAAGGAAAACCAAAGTTTGTCCCAATCGAGATGCCAAAACAAGAAAGAAATAAAATGATAGTATTGGGAGAAGGGAAGGGCATTGCCAAAAATAGTTTAGAGATTTGAACTCCTCCAGGCGTGGGTTTCCTGGCTCCCACTGGATCCTCAGGTTTTGCATAAGGCTCATTATGTTAGCAGTTCTCTCTGTAGCAACACCATCCCACACCCTTTCCTAGGTCCTCTTTGCTCATCAGTAGATACCACCAAGCACAATGCTTCACACCTCTGGGCCAACGTGTGAGACTAAGATGCAAGACGAGTTTAGAAAACACTGTTATTTCAAGGTTCCCTCGTTCTCCTTCCTTCTCATTTTAAAATAGATTCAGTTACTGACCAGGGAATCCTCCTTGCTGAACCGGTAATTCAGGAGGGAGAAATACTTGTATCCAGATACTGTATCTGTGTGCCACAAGATAGCATGATAAAACAGAGGGTGGGCAAGAGGCGGTACTTTAATTCTTTATATTTGTGGCAATCACCATTTTAAATATGATTTATGTTTACAAATATTCTCCCTTCCCTCCAGCAAAATCAGGTGACAAACAAGCCTCTCCCCAGGTTATCACAGATGTATCCCCATGTTATCGTTCACATCAACCAGAACTTGGGGATGGCAATAGTTGGTGCTTGGACTACAGTTCCCAGAATGCTCCAGACAGCATTAACTGCTACTGTATATTCTCAGAGTTCTAGTCTCCAGTTGTTTTGTTCAATAACATGCAAAAGAGCACCGTTCTAGCAGCTGCTACTGTATATTCTCAGAGTTCTAGTCCCCAAACAGTTGTTTTGTACAATAACATGCAAAAGAGCACCATTCTAGCACCATCCCTGTGAGGTAGGTTAGACTAACCAAGAGAGTGATCAACCCAGAGTCAACCGGTGTGAGGTTCAAAGTTCTTGGACATTAAAGTTACCATTTTCCAAGTCCCTATTCAACACTCTGCTCACAGCACCATAATGACTCTCTTTATAACTCAGTGATTTAGGTATCTGGCTGTGGAGCCAGAGGCTGGGAGTTCAATTCCCCACTGTGCCTCCTTGACAGGGCCTAGATTCCATGATTCATAGGGTCCCTTCCAGCTCCACAGTTCTGAGATGATTACAGTATATGTTCTCTCTGCCTTATAGGATAACCCTATGCTCCAGTTAATACCCGGGAGACTAATAGAAATAAGCATTGAAATTAAGGGGGAAGGAATTGTGATTGAATTTGCAACAAGGAGATGGCTAAGGGATAAGACTGTTTGCTTTAGCTTGAGCTGTGTACTAAGAAAGTAGGTGAGGACAATTATGACCAACAGCTTCATTTATTTTAACAAGTTTCTTCTTGATGTTTGTTGCTTTATTGGCTTCTGTTGCTCCATCAGCACCACCCCTTTTTATTGTAGCAATAGCAAGATACAAAAGCCTGTACAGCATTCAGTACAGTACTGAGCACTGATCAGGATAACATAATTTCATAGGTTGAAATCCAGTTGCTTTGTCACATGTGCAAAATTCAAACAGCATGACATTCAGTCACTTCTAGCCAGGAATTAATAAATTGTTGGGATTCTCGTCTGTATGCCTGATGAGAGGGTATGCACCATCCTCCAGGAGTGACTCGTTAAATAGAAGCCATAATTCATTCAAAATGTGGTGTTGGAAGTTGACTTTATGGATATTGTGGCCCATCGGAAAAAGAAATAAATGGGTTGTAGATCAAATAAAGCCTGAATTCTCACGAGAAGCTCACATTATCAAAATGAAGCTATTATACTTTAGACATATCACAAGAAGACAAGACTCACTGGAAAAGACAAAAAATACTAGAAAAAGTGGATGGCAATAAAGAAGACCTAAAATAAGATGAA